CATGTTTTCTGACCAAACGGCTGATCACTGTGTAATGATAGCCAAGCTGTCTACCTATCGCCTTGTAGGACATACCAGCAGAATTCATGCCAATAATTTGCCATCTCTGCGCCTCTGATATCCGTCTTCTTGCCATTCTTACTTAAAGTGATTTTGCATTCAGAAATTCGGGACTTAAATACGGATTTGATGCACGAGAAAATAGTGCATATTGGACGTGAAGAAGGGAGCAAGTTGCACGTGGGGAAAAAAATGCACCTGATTTAAACGTCACACCTGAACGCTCACATCCTTTTAATTATGTTTGAAATTATGAACATTGCTAAACATCATGAAAATTAAACCTTATTTTCAATAAGCAATTCTGAAAAATATTTGGGGGTGCTTAACTTTTTTCCAGGTGTATATATTCATGTGATTGTTTTAACTGACCGAGTTTTATACGTTATTATGAAGAAGTTTTATATTGCTTTTATAATGTAACTATACCACATGTATAGGCAATCACTTTTTGTTTTGAAAAAAAGGATTTTACAGAAGTTCCTGTAAGCAAAAACTTGTTGAAGTAAATGTGTCAAAAATAATATTCCCATGAATATATTTATTGAAAAATGCTAAAAATCTGTTCATAGTGAAAAATAATAAAAATGTGTACACTTAAAACTATTTTTATATATTGTGAGTTTAGGATGTTCAGAAAAGGGAGCACATTGTATCTGAAGAAGACATGCAAGGATTTATATCTGAGGGTGCTAATATCTTACTTCAAAGACTCCTGGTTAGAAAGGGACTTAGTGAATCTATCAGCTTCAAATCTCTTGACTCGGAGTGTAATCTTTGTATAGTAACATATGTAAGTATGTTTGTGTAGTTTTTATATTGATTATTCACACAAGATGTATACAGAATTATTTTGCATTCTTCCAGGAGACTGTAGTGGTTAAATATATGCATCTCTTTGTAACCTTTACAGTAATGACTCAGTATTAAATCCAAGCCAGGTAAAAGTACTGCTCCATGCAGAGTGCAGGAACAAAGAGGACACATTAATATCTAAACACACTAGCCTGCAAACTTTCTGATTAGTAATTTGACTGCATTTAGGAGGTTTTAGGGATTACACAAAGGAAATTTGAGATGAGGAAAAGTATTTTTAATTTTAACATGAATATTACTTCGCATATGGACTATTCAAAACAAAAACTCAATATATTCATGGACAAATCTTTATTTTATTTTATTCAAAATACTTCACTAAAAAATATGATTTTGTGTATGTGGAAAACTTATAATATTAACTGAAAGACTGCCAGATTTTGTGAAGATATACATACTATATTGAAAGTTAGAATATTAAATCTATAAAGACTAAACGAGTACAAAGAGGTCACATGTTCAGTCAAATTGACCGAGCCATTGTTGAGAGAGTTAACCCCACTGCTTCCACATTTTCACATTTGTTATTGGTGTCCAACTGTACCATTGTGTTTATCTCAGTTTCACAAAACATTATCTCTAGAAAATATTGTTTGTAAAATAGGAAATATGATGACATGGCAAAATTATTTAGTAATAGACTATGAATATTTATCTCCATCTGCAAGTAGTCAGGTGTCACATAACCATTGTTGGAATGATGTTATTAGCATAAGGTAAGCTCAAGACACATTTGGCAGAAATCTAAAATTATCATATTGCTGAAAAATAAAGAACATGGACTTTTCAGAAGTTTTCTAATTCCATCTTTAGGAAAAGCACTTCAGAAATTATTACCTCCACCAAAGAATGTGGATGGAGGTTGTTTTCACCCCTGTGTGTATGTGTTTGTCAGCAATATTTCTCAAAAATGGCTGAATGGATTTTGATGAAAGTTGGTATAAATTTGAACTATGATCCAACTTAGAAGTCGTTATTATTTCGGAGGGGCAAGGTCTTGGCAATGTCACGAAAAAAAAACAACCTATGTGACACTATTTTTGTTCTGTAAGTCAGTCAAAAATGATTAAATTTTGGTGAAACTTAGTGGACATATGAAGAACATTATTCCTCATTGTCCTGCCAAAAATGATCTGTGTCCATTGTTAATGACAGACATACAGACACATTTTCTTATTATTTGAGAGCCAAATACGATCAATACAGTGTGGGAAAGGTAAGCGCTCTACTGAGTGCCCCTCTAGTTAAGAATGTTTCTAGCCTAAGTTCTTCTTAGTTATTGTCTAAAATTCATAAATAATAAAAAGATAGGGAATGCAAATCAAGACAATATAATAGAATGAGTGTCAGAAACCTAATCATTATGCACGAAATAGTCAAATGTTTGCATTTAAATATGGCCCATCAGCTTGTATCTGATTAGGTCACCTGTTTTGCAGTATTTAACCTATAAGCCAAGATATTTTAAGTGACATTTTTGTCCCAATTACTAAATATTTTGGTGACAATCATCTGCTTCAAAGAGACAATCAGAACTGTAAATACAGTATTGTGAGGTATGTTTCTCATATTATTTTGTCTCTATCTTCATTAGTTTGAATGGGTACAAAAATCCTACCTGGATAGTTAATTCGGGCAGGTACCCGGGTGCCTGAAAATTTTCGACCACTATTAACATAACAGTTTTTAACATGCAGAAGACAAGACAGTGTGAACCATGATGTCACATAGTTTAAATTTACTTTGTGTGTAATGTTGTCTTTATTTTTTTCTAGCCAAAACATATCTAAAACTGCTAATAATAAAAGGTTATGAATGTTTGGATGAAAAGTAAAATAAAACAGTAAATGATATAGTTATAAATGAAAGATGAAAATGATATTAACCCACGAAACTTTTTGCAGCCATTGTGTATACTATAGCATAGGCCCACAAAGTATAGGCTACTGTATGTGTTTTCACCCTTCTGCATGAGGTACTGAAACAAATTCAAACAAACATCTCTCCATTTTTTAACTTTTCACCAATTAGTAATGAGCACTGATTTAGTGGATCATGGAATTAATATCAAAGTATAACTGTTTCTTCAATTGGATACTGTTAGCTTATTGGTAACTGGTAATGAAACAAAATAATCTTTAGCAGCTCACCCTGGCTGACTGTCATTACATAGTAGCCACGCTGCTCAGGCAATATTTCTACATGATGGTGAAACTTAGTTTGTACATACATACTTATATATATGGATGTTACGGCATCTACAGCCACCTGTCATTATAACACACATTTCACAGAGATTACAAGACTGCTGAGTGCACCTGCACTATCAGAAAAGTTAGCATAATCAATGGGTGGAGCTTACCTCAAATTTTTCAATGACTAAACTTTGATAATTTCCTATTAAGATTAGTGTGTGAGTTTCTCAAATAAATTACATTGAAATAAAACGAATTTACGACAGTAATCGCCGCATCCTAATACCTCAAATTATGACAAGTTAAACTAGTTCTGCAAAAATGTAGAAACCTTTCGAAGATCATATTTATATTGATGCAATAATTTACAGTATTTACTATTACAAATCACACAGTCATCATGTTTGAAAGTTTCCTGTGGGTGATAGGCCGCCTTTCCTGTGTTGGAATGTCGATTGTGCCATGCTACAAAATGGCAGTAACCATGAACTGACTGCTTGTAGTGAATCAGCTAATAATCATTTAATATAGAAAAAAATTTTAAGTGGAATATTTAAAACTTGCTGCTTACTTAATTGTTTCTTTGTCTCCTATATTCATTATTGTCAATGGAAGAGGTAAAAAGTTATATGGTATAAGCAAATTCTGAGAGTATAATGAATGGTTGAATAATTTGATTTATAAGGTACTCAAGGATTTTTGTACACTGTTGAACTTAAAAATCAATGACTAGCCTGCCATGAGTTTAATCTAAGTCTCTATTACACATTTATCTGACTTCCCATGAACGATTTCCTGACAGATGCAACATATGACCATGATTTTTGGGTGGAAAATCGAATAATGACCTCTCTATAACAACTTTTCTTCATATCAATAATGTAATTTACAGAGACACATGAATACAGTGTATATAGTATGTAACAAAGAGGTCACATGACTGAAGATTGCTTCACAGCTTATTATATGTATCTTGGTACCCCAGGGTGTTCGAGTGAAACTCCTTGGTACATACATGTAGGTAGTTTGATTTTAAAACTTTCCGGTTCTGAAAGGTAACCAGGGGTGGTCAGAAACTTGTTTGTCTTTGCATTGCTCACGGAATTAAGGTTTATTCTTTTGAGCTAGTGGCATAGATGTTGAGTAACTTGATTAGGATTTACTAGCAGGGTGTAAAGATTATTAACTCACAGTTTGTTGATTGACAGACTCAACTAATCTGTGCAGTAGGCATGGCTAATGAAATGCCTCAAGGCATCTGGGAAAGCTGAGAACAGGAAGTCGCTGTAAAGAAGTAGAAGGCTAGAAGTGTTGATATAGAAATGTGATGTGGACATTGATATAGACCAAAGTTGTGACAAAAGCAACAAAATAAATGAAACATGGAAATTTTTAGTCTACTTGAAATTGTGTTAATGGAACATATTACATTTTATGTAGTATTTGTATTCAGAGTGGATTATTAGGTATTGGCTAGATTCTAGCAATCATTTAATTCATATATTTATTCTTATTTATTTACTGGTACTTTTAAGTTTGTGGAATGGTCCCTTTTCAGAGCTGGGATCAAAGGATCCAAGTTTCAAGGGTTTAGGGTTGGGCTGTTTTGTTCAACTAACTCTCTCAACAGAGGCTCAGTCAATTTGACCAACCATGTGACCTCTTTGTACTCATTTAAAGTCTTTATAGATTTAATACTTCTAACTTTCAATATAATGTGTCTATTTTCACAAAATTTGTCAGACTTTCAGTTAATATTACAAGTTTTTCACATACAAAAAAATAATATTTTTTAGTGAAGTATTTTTAATAAAATAAAGATTTGTCCATGAATATACTGAGTATTTGTTTTGATTAGTCTGCGTGCAAAGTAATTTTCATGTTAAAATTAAAAATACTTCTCCTCATCTCAAATTTCCTTTGTGTAATTCCTAAAACCTTCTAAATGCATTTCAAACATTTTTTTTCCAGTAAAACTTTATGGTTTATCTGTTATTTTCTCTATCCTATCTTAAAATGGAATCGGTCAAATTGACCGACCTCATAATCACCAAAAATAAAATAAAAAAATGGAATAAATCAAAATTTTTTCTTTCTGGAATGACTTCAAAGTGTAACATGAAACTACATTCTTTTATCCTAAGTAGCTCTAAGTTTATACCACTATACATCTCTCTATAATTAAATTTTATTGTGATATTGCTCTTTGAACTTTGTCTAACTACTATCTGTGCCATTATAAGTTGTAAATCTCTTGGGGAACGTGCAGCTTATGTTACGCTAACAAATTACATTACCCACGAGCTACTATGAGCTGCTCACGTGCGTGCCTAGTGAAACATTTTTATTATAATATTATTATTTATTTTCCCTTATCTAATCTTAACTAACCTAAAAGGATCCCTATTTTTACATTTTAGTTACTTTTATGATTATACATAAAGAATAAACATGAAAAACAAGAAGTTATATACTTAACCAATCTTCTTTTTTCTTGATATCAGTTGTCGAAAAGAGTTAACCCCAATTATTTTATACTAATGATAGTAATGCGCTTAATAATTTTTATTTAATTAAATAATGCACCAAAGAATATAGACTAATAACATGGAAAAAAATAGACAGATTCCCCTAACTCTCAAAATTTTTCTGGCTTTCTAACTGTTACAAATTTAT